CAGTCATACCTTGAACTTACTAACTTCAAGAAGGTGAAATAGAGAAATGTATTTAAATACTATTCGGTATGAAACACTTAGAAATAACACAACAGTATGATTACTGCAGGTTAATTTAGCCTATTTAGATTTTCCAGTAATTTAAGAATACATATATAATCATCATCCATTGTTCAGACAGGGACAACTGTTCTGAAACAGGATCTCAATTTACACACACATCTAATATATCTAAAATAGACAGTATACATACGTACAGCATATAAAAGTCAAATAACCATTCAATCCCTTTACTTACACATACTTCCAGTGAAAAGATAAAATCTTGGCTTATAAATCAGCTGAACTAAAATACCCTAAAAGAACACACTTCTAATAGAAGAAAACGGTGAGGAGATAAACACGATTAAGGGAAAAGGGAGGGTAGAGAAGTAAAATATTTGCCAGTTAGCTCTGAATACTTTTGTATTGAACAAAAATAAATACTCAATCTGCTTGCTATTTCTTTTGGAAGTACTTCTTTGCAGAGAGGAATGCAAGTTAGCATCCTTTATAAGGCCATAAGAATCTGGCACATACCACCATAAAGTAGGTCTGGTACAGAATACAGCAATCTCCCATGTAGTGACATGATAAACAGAATCCTTAAATGCTGATTTGGTCTCCCTTTAAAGCCAATACTTGTTTTAAAAAAAATAAAATAGAAAAAGAATCAGAAGCCATCTGCAAAGGAAGTACCTCAGACTCAAATCTGTCTACACTCACTATGTGTACATTGCTTTTTGTTTAGACAAAGTAAAACCAGGAGAGAATGCAATGTGTCTGCAGAAGGTTCTTCTATTTTAAACTAATACTGTCCTGCCAGTATCAATTCATCCAGATAGAAAATCCTTCATTAAAAATATAATTTACTTTGGTTGCTTTCCACTGTGTTGAAGTGACATCTTTCCCAAACGCTGTCTAAGGCCATTAGGAACACAGAGCTTTTGAGAACAAGTTTCAACCATGACACCCATTGGCCTCCCTAAACAAAAGTTTCCTTAGGAAGGCTTGGGAATCCTCAGATGGGAAGGGGCAAAGCCAAAGGGCATGAAAAATATTATTTGGATATACATAGTATCATTACAAAATTACAAAAAATCTTTGCACTGTCTCATACAGGCAAAGTGACAAACCAGTGAAATAACCTAAGGAACAAGACAGAACTTTGGAACTTTTCACCTGAAACTTGGGGTGCTACAGCATTTTATTAAAAAGTACAATACTGAAGACAACTTAAGCAAGAAGTTACCAACATTTCACTCAGCTATACATATTTTTATGTGTCCATCTGGGAAAAACAAAAAACAACACATATACAAGCAGATAAACTCAAATTAAAACACAGCTTGCCTTTGGAGTCATGGCTTACTTTTAAAAAAGATGACTTATATATACAAGAGCATTTATATTTAAGCCAATATTTTAAACTCTGTTTTTTCCTACAAATCACAGTACAAGAGTTTCTGAACAACTTCTTAGTTTCATCCTATTCCCTTCTCATTCAACTGCTCTAGCTAGAGACCAGTAGAGCAGGAGTCAGACAGCGTGACAATCTGTAGCAATCAGACATCACAAAACTTAGGGAAACAAAATGTAAGATGTACTTTATTAATGTAAATGATTCTAGACATTTCAACACTAAGAGAATATAATTCAAGAATTAGTCACACCTAAAGAGAGAATTCAGAAAGTTCAGTAGGGGACAGGACAAAGGAGTAAAGACGCCCTTTCAAAGTGTAGAATTCAAGCCCTTGCTGAATTCCAGATCCGCCTCCGCTCCTCCTCAGAGTGCCAGTTTGGGGCCTGAAGTTGGGAAAAAACCAACTCTACTGCTTCATACTTCAAAGGGAAGCTCAAAAGACAAACTATGCTGCCTTTCTGTAACTTCTGATGCAAAAAATAATCTGATTCAGCAACAAGCCTCTCTTGATAGGGTTATACACCTCCCACTGACCACAGTCTGAGCAGCCTCATGGAATACACAGGCTCATTGCTGGGGGATTTTTCACAAAGGCAATCTGGAACAAGCAGTTCCTATCTCTGGCCACTTGTTACCAGCTCCTGTTGCACTGCCTTCACCCCACCCCTCCTGGGACAGCTTCGTGGTGCTGCACAGAGGGACTTGGTGAAGTTAAAAATAGTCCATTCATCCTCCCTCTCCCTCCCCATTTTTGCCAGGTTATTTTTAAAACAGATACATTCTCTGCTCTTGTTCAACAGGCAGCTTGGCAAGAGGGGAAAGGGAGGAGGAGATGCTGCAGCTCTGCCAGTCCAGGCTGTAAGAGGGACTGCAGAGCCCCTTCAGCCCACCTTGCCACTAAGACATCACATATCCATGGCATTACAGACACACAGAAGTCCTCATAATCCCAGTTTAAGCTGGTGTTTGCAAAGTCTGAGAAGGAGCACGTACTATTCCTACGGTTAGACGGAAGAGGTTTGCATAATCTTATCCCTCACATCCCAGGAGCCAGAACTAATTCTGTGCTTTTCTGATTTGACTTGGGGATTCTACGCCACCACAGCAGGACTTAGGAAATGGCTCTTCACTGTAACCTTGTCTGAGCGCTCATCTTTTGTTTGCATTACTCTGCCTTGCAAGATGACAGCTATCAAGTCAGATTACTGAATGCCACTCACAGTGACACATGCCAAAAGTAAACCATTAAGACCACCTAAATAAGAGCCAGCCTTAATATGTAGGTTGCCAGGTATTACATCTGGTAAGAAATCATTCTCGACAAGTTCAGCAATTAAAAAATTATCAAATATTTTAACTTAGTTCTTAAAATTCACAGGACTAATCAAATTAAAAACTCTTCCTGAATTCCTAAAAGAACCCTGCATTTCAAGGGCAAAGAATTTAGGCTGTCAGAAAAAAAAAAAAATGGTTGGGGGAGGTGGGGGGAAATACAGCAAGTTTTTGAAAATCCTCCTAACCCCCAGTGTTTTTTCTGTGTGTTTATGAAGCCTCCGGAAATACCATGGCAAACATTCCTGCTCTACAGCAGCGAGGTCACATGACCCAAAGGCACAGCAAGGAACTTCTCTCCCAAGTTCCCTTACGGTAGAGAAAAGTGATCTTTATTTTATTTTGGAAAACAAGGATCCAAGTCTAGGGAAATCTCCAGGAAATTTTCAAGAGTATAGTTTTAAAAACATAGTGTTTCTTGATGTGGTGGGGTTTGGTGTTGTGTTTTGTCATTTATTTGCTGCACTTCTATGTCTGTACATATTACTGGTATTATCCAAGATGAGCATCTTATACCATTAGACCATATTCAGGGACCATTAAATACAGTATACCATTTAAGTCACCTCTAAAAACTACTTGTAATCTTTTAAGTAAAAACTACTTGTTCTCTAATCTTCTAGTAGAGTTAAAATCAGTACTGCTGTATTTCTTAACACAGCCATGATCTTTTCCTGGCAAAAATTATGGCACTGAAAACCTCTCCCCCTTCTTGTCTTTCAGGATTATTTCAGCTAGCACTACTAATGAAAGGATTTATGCAAATAAGCTTTGCTAAACATGATTAAAAAAAACCTCAAAATTTGAACCTGAATCACAACCTTGCATTTTTACAAACAATCACATGTACATACTTGGAAGTAACTGAAATGTAGTATTGATGAATCATAATGTAATAGGTGAGTATCAGAGTTTCGTGGTTGTCTGAAAGCAACACAGAAGAAAGCTTGGGGAAGGCAGACAGTCCTGCAGTAGAAATGCACAGCAAATGGCAGGCACTCACCACTAACTTGCTTTGTAACCATGTCAGAAATGCTTCTAATTATCAGAGGTAAAAGAGGGATGGCATTTCTGCTGGAAGCAAGTTTTACACTTTAGTCTTTCCTCTCCCTTCTTTTTCAGCCTATAAATATTAGTCTTACACATTTTTCTCCCATACAGCTCTTGAAAAGGTTGAGTTTTTCAAGGCTGAGAGCAGATAGAAACGTTCATCAAGAAATGCCTTGAGGTCAACTGTCTGTAACTCATCAAAGTGCAGCACTGAAAATATGGATGGTGGATTATATGAGCATGGTAAAGCAGATTTTAAAAAAAAACCAACAAAACTATATTCTGATGATCAGTAACATTTTTTCTGTTTGGAAATGGGTTCAGTTATGTAGCCCCAGTGGCAATGGTCACAGGGCACTGACTTCCCCCCTAATTTCAGGTGCATTCAAAACAACTACAGATGCACAGAAGTGACGTTAGTGCTATTTCCAAACATATGGAAATCCCACTGGGATATGACAAGGATCAAAAATGGAGAAGACTCACACAGCAGCGTAAGGAGAGGCAGCTGGTCCACAAGAAAATAATGATGTAGGCCAAATTCTAGAGAAGCACTGAACTACACTGAAAATAATGCAGAGATGAGCTTACCTATGGCTTTATAAACTATTTAAAATATCTTTTAAAAACCCCCACAAGCAAAGGAAAAGCAGCAACAGAATAAGTCTGCAAAGATTATTTTTCTTAAGTGAAGAAGGAAACAAATACCCTGAAGTGCCCATTCTGTGCTTTTTAAAAAATTCTGTACAACAGCTAGACATAAGATATTGAACATATTATTGAAACTACTGCTCACTTCTACTCAGGGATTTCTGCTTAGTTTATTATAAATGCACATTTATTGGCAGCAAGTAGAACATATTATTGCTCTGTTTTATAGCTGGAATGGCGCACACACAGAGTAATTTGTTTGCATTCCGTATCAGGATCAATACTGTACCAGGGACAGCTTGAGGAATGTTTATGCTGAGGGCTTTGCTTGCAGTGCTTTGCTGTTGCAATCAATTGACCAAACAGGGCTGCTTCTTAAAACAACAAATAAACTATGATAGTGACCAGATCAGCCATTCAAGCATCAAACACTACACAGTGCCTGGAAAAGGAATGAAGGCCCACAAGTGTTTTTACTGCTGGATGACATACACAGCTTTCCTACCTGAGTATTTCCCACCGGCCTTTCTTCCTCTCAGTAGCTGGGGACTGTTTCCTCAACGCCCTCACATAACAAGATCCATTTTCCTGCAATAAAAACACAGACACATCATGCTTCCATTCTCTTGCAGAACACAGCAGCATTTGAATCAGTTCAGTGAAAAGACCTGAAATGAATTAAGGGCATTTAGGAGTCCAATAACCAAGCCAGGAGGACCAGATCTGAGGCTGTGTCGGGGTTCTAGCCCAGCTTTTGCCACCCCCAAGCTTCTGAGACTCACTCAGCAGTTAAAGTATTACAGGTTTTCATGCCTGTAACAATGAAATAAGGAAAAGATAATGTGAATTCTGTTGAGGTTTATATCAAAATTTCCAGAGCCAAATGGTAATTTTTTCTCAGTTAAAGGTCATGCTGAAGTCTCTTTTATTCTCTTTATAAAGGGTACTCACTGACTACTGTGAGCAAAGTGCCATTAAAAAAGATAAACCAACCCCCAAACACTACTTAAAAAAATACACCAAAATACCTCAGAATCACCATCCTCTCTGCAGCAAAACAAAACAAGTTTATGGATTACACTGGCACAGCACTGCAACTTCTAGGAAATGTTTTTTTAATTATAAAGAAAGATTGCAAAGGGAGACGGGGGAATGTTTACGGGTAGTCTGTATTTTGTTACATGCTGTTTCAGCAGGCAGACAAGGTGTCCTTACAGCATTATACCACCAAGCTCCAAAACTCAGCAAATATTGAGAAAAGGAACACAGTGACTACATTTTGCCTCTATTTTGACTGACTTCCAAATAACTTCTGTGCAAAAAAAAAATCCCATTAAACATGAAAAAGCACATACTATTGGAAAACAACAACAAAAAAACCAAGTAAAAAACAACACAGCAAACCCCACACAATTTGCAACCACTCCAGGTTCCTCCCCAACTACCAGCCTTGAGAGCAGACACTTTCATAAAAACTCAAATTATGCAAAAGTCATTCAGGTGACTTTAAGAAAAGTCTCAAGTTATTACAAATAACTTGTTAGTTGTATTCAATGTTTGTTCTGCAGCCATATTTATCCTTTTCACTGGTAATTCACCAAGAATAAAAACATGACTGAAAACCTTCTTAGAAACAGTCATTCCACCCCAACACACCCAGTGCCACCAAGGGACTGTCTGCTTCCTACAGGGACACTGCTGGTTTTCTTGTCTCACAAAGGGCAGTTTTAGAGAAATTACATATTGACAAGCACCATGGGTGAACGTTTGGCTTTAAGGCCTCATTGAACTGTGAATGTTTTCGCCCAGAACAGGTTTATTCTCTTCCAGAAGTTTTCTCCAGTGCTTTTCTTCTGCTGATGCAAGGTAGGAACAACACTTTAATTGATTCAAATTTAGTATTTGTTAACATGACTTTCTCAGCCAATGCAGACCGGGCTTTAATGAAGTTGCAATTAGTTATTTTAGTTTGTTTCTCCAAAGGAAAAGCTTTTTTTTTTGCCTGCCCTAAGATCTGGGTACCATTCCAGGTGTAACTGGATTGGACTTTTGTCAGATCAGGCTATAGCATTTACCTGGACACTTGAATTTTGCCTCTCCCTCCTCTCTCCTGGACTCTTACTTTCAACACTGCATTTGTGCAGCTGCATGGTTAGCTGGAATGGGGCAACTAATTTCCTTCAGCATGTTGTCTCAAACGGCTCTGCCAGCACAACACAGGGAGCAGGGCCAAGACAGGAGTGATCAGCCATCATGGCAGAGGGTAGAAACAGAGGCTGTTTAAGGCAGCTTGAACTGCACTGCTGCACAACACAAACCCAAAGCTTTGCTCCCCTGCTCTATTCTGCCCATCTGTAAAACCAGCACCACAATTCCTACTTTGTTTTATAAAGCACCTCTTAAAATGAAAGGGCTAGCCATTAACATTTCTGTGAATTCACAGTACTGACCACCCACCCCTTTCAGGTCCAAGCTGGTTCTAAGGACACTGGCACTGTCCCCACCAGCATCTGCTCCCTGGTTTCCCCACACAGCCTGCTCAGTGGTTGTACAATGTCCCCCCCTCCACTCCAGCCTGTTCTGTGCCCCCACGCCAGCCCCAGCTCTGCCAACACACTTCACAGGGTCCTGCTGGGAACAGCAATCAGCTTCTAAAAATAAAATTAGCTTCTTAAAGCCTGGTCCCTTTTCTCATCCTGTTTCTACAAAGATCCCCAAAACAGTCTCACTGGCAAGGTCCAGGGTTTAGCGGGCTACACCTGAGAATGAGACTAGATGGTAGAGAAGAAGTACCAGCTGGAAAGCCCTGACACCTGGCTTGCCTCAGCCACCCTGTCCAGGTGTGTGTTAAGCCCTGCTGTGGCACAGTAACTCGGTGCTGCACAATTCCCAGCTTTTCCCACATCCACAGCTGGGGCACGGCAGGCTCCGCCGCTGCAGGAGCGGACTCGGGAAGCACCGAGCCCCATCCGCAAGCAGCCGCCCTGCCCGGCCAGGCAGCCGGGCCAGGAGGGGAACCAGCAGCGCTCCAGCCGGGAGCGCTTCCTGCTCCTCCACATCCAGCAGGGGGAGCACAAAAACGCACAGCTTTTTTGGCCATAAAAGATTTTTAGGCTACGAACCGCTGTATCGCAAAGCTGGACACTCTGCGTTAGGCTACTCCTACAGCAATGTGTATGTGGTGCATGACAAGTGCACCACGGGCAGAACTCCTGCTCCGGGCACATCACACCGCAAAAATCAACTCTGAAGGAGCCACAGACAGGCCAGGAAAGCTGCAGGAGCCGGGGGCAGGAAGGAGAGCCTGCACAGCAGGGCTGCCAACGCCAGCAATTTTATCCTGTCCCCTGCAGCACTAGGAATTTTTCCTAAAGCCAGCTCTCCAAAGTCTCATCACCACATAAAAATTTCAGCTTTCAGCTCTTTGTTTGTTTTTTTTAAGGGATATATTTATCTCTAGGCTTCCAAAGTTCAAAACCAAAGCTGTAAAAACAAACCCCAAAGATTTAAACAACAGCAAAAGCGATAAAAGAATCCCTCAAATCTGTTGCCTGTACATCATGGGCAAAAGAATCTCAACTCTGGGAATTCCACATAATTTTCCTTAATTTACAATTAACAACAAACTGTTAGTTACTGTTTCAGAAATTGAGGAGGCAAAAAAGGAGCCTGTTCAGCAACCACTGAGGGGAACTCTGTTCCTGCTTCCCAAGGGTGAGCATCACCCAAAGACCTTTCCTCGCCCAACTCCCCTGGGTTGTGCCATGCCTGACCCTCAGCCCTGCGCCTGCCTCTAGCATGGACAGCCGTGGAGTGTGTCTGCAGCACCTTCTCTGCCTGCTCCTCCTCCTCACTTGTCCTTGGGCTACTCCTTGCCCCTTCATTCCATCTCCCCTGTCCCAGTCTTCCCAGGGATGCCCTTGCTTTGGGTGACCCTCACTGCACGCTGGGGCAGGCATGATCCCTCAGGGACCCTCCTGAAGGGCAGCCCAGAAAATGTCCCCATCCCTGCAGCCCCAGCTCCTAAATCCATTAATTTAGGCCCAATATACTACATAGTTTCAACATCTTTTCTTATAAGATGGTGCTCTGTTTCCCAGCCATTTTGTTAAAATTAATGGAAGTGGTCTATATATATTGAAGGGAAACACCCAGAGCAACATGTGCATTACAAGTCTTAAAATTAAAGCATATAAAAATACTGTAAGGGTGAACTGGAGGAAGTCCAATAGGGAAGTATCAAGGAATTCATCTTTAAATCTCCTAATCTCAGCTGTATCACTGCAATGGACTTTCCCTGCTTTCTCATCATATCCTGGTCCCAGCTGGTGGCCACCAGATCTTGCAGAAAGCAAGAGCGAGCCCAGGGTATCTCACTGTCTATACCTCAGCTCTTACCTTTGCTGGACTTAAATAACTGTAAATAAATCAATCTCTAAAAGTAGCCAAGAGTAAACCCTTCAGTTTCCATACACAAAATATCATATGGACTCCACATACCCAGACAAAAATGAACAGATAGCACATAGAAAACATCCAAACAAAAAATATTGAAAAACAAAAATACTACTAGGATGGACAGTTAAAGAATGTTGTACAACCTTCCTATAGAAATGCATAAGGCAGGTGCATTTTAGAGTATTTTCCTACTTTCACAAATTATTTTGAAGTTCCAGCATTATTCTCCTTGAACTGTAGAACATGTTCAAACTCAAAATTCCTATAAAACCACAGCATGTCAGCAATCCCAACTTCTCATTTATCCACAGCTGTAACTGGGTCATAAGTGAAGAACACGAAGTGCTGCTCTTCCTAAATAAGCTTACTGGTCAGCAAGCGTACTTCTGCTATGTGAAAACATTAACAAACTTTACAGAGAGTTTAACCATTATATGCAGTCCTTATTAGGTATCATAGCTCTCTATCAGGACATTTTAGAAATTTGGGCTTTCTTGAAATTCTAAAGTAACTCAAAATCAACAGTGAGTGTATGTGTGAAAAGCATCAGATGCCATCCACACTGACCAAGAAACAGCCTGCTAGTTTAATAAGAGAAAAGCAAAAACTGTTGTTAAACTAGTAATGCAAAATAGGTGAGGGTTTTGGAGAGGGAAGATGAGAGACAGACAGAGAGTGTCTGTGAGAGGTTGAGAATGAGAATGTCCATGCAGGTTGGTGTGTTCCTTCCTGGGCAGAGACAGAACAAGGCAGGAAAGGAAAGCTGGGAAGATCTGTGTGGAGGGAAGCAGGACTGCAGCTTCAGACAACTTTCAACTTGGCCTACACTTAGACTTGGTCCTCAGTAATCCTTATTAAAACAAGAACCAAAAACCACTCAAATACAAATACATCACACCAAAATGCAGCAGCCACATGGCTGTAAAATACAGCCATTTATCTGATGGAACAGACAGGATGCACACTCCTTCCAAACACAAGCAGCAGAAAGTCACAGAAAGGGCCAGGCTGCACTGGAACCTGCCGTGTGCCTCACCTGGCAGCACCCAACACATCCCCTCCCTGCCTGGGGAGCCCTGGAGCCAGCCTCATGCCTTCACCCCAGCAGGGCTCCTCATGCCCTGCAGAGC